CTAAAACACAGATCTGATTTTATTACCCCAAGGCCTCAAGTCCTTTAATAGTTTCCTATTGCTGTCAGGAAGAAAATCCAAACTCCTCAGCATGTTTCATTTGCTCAAGCATATATACTATGCTCTAGCTATCCTCTGGTACCTAACTGCCTGTTTGTCCTCCTTGCTTCCACATATGCTGTTTCCTTGTCTTTAATTTCAACTGCCTCCTCTGCATCCTATTCAAAGTAGAAATCCTGCTTATGGAGTTTTCTATGACTTTCAATAATAAATTAAATGGTTTTCTTCTCTGGGATCTCAAAGCATTTTGTATATGATTTTATTATACCCATTAAAGTGTATTACAACTGTCTACTCTTCTGTCTTCCATCTTGTGTCCCTAACACTTAGAAGAGCACTTCTCACATAGGAGTATTGAACAGAAGGAAAAAGGCCAAAAAATGAAAGGATCTTTGAATGTGGTTAAAAAACAGGTCATTGGTGATGTTAGAAAGTACAGTTTAGGTGGGTAAGAAGAAAAAAAAAGACTGGATATATACAAAATGAAGGATGGAATAGGTAGAAAGAAAATATTCAACATATTCATTTCAAAAATCTGTAAGAAAAGAAAAAAGAAATGGATGAAAGAAAAAATATCACAAAGAAAGACTGCTTTTTTAAAAACACAGATAGCTGACCAAGTTAGAAGGCAAAAGAAAGCAATTTGAGAGAAAAAACCAGAAGATTTAAAAAGAGCAAGTACAGAAATCATATCCTATACTCAGAGGACAGAGATGACAGAGAGAAAGGCTGGAATGAGACTGGAAGAATATAAGACAGTTGTTGAAACAAATGTTTCAAAGTAAGCATAGAATACTTTCCATTTCAGGCATGAGAATTTTCATTCTTTTAGTTTCCCAAACTAGAAATCTTAAAAACAAAAACCCCCAAAACCAACCAAACAAAAAAAACTTTGGCACATTCCTTCTATCCAGCTATTATTAATCTATAACCAACTATCGTTTCTTCTTTGTACATATCTTTCAAATCAGCTCTTTCTCTCTCCCCCTGACATGACTCTCCTACCTTATAAGCCTTCATCAACTCTCAACTGAATTACTGCAAAGCTCCTAAGAAGTTTCTAATTCTAGTGTCTCCAACATCAAATTTAACAAGAAAACACATCCAGCCTTCTCAAACATTCTCTGTGAAGCTCTCTCTGACGCTGTCTCTGACCAGATTCACCCCCTCCTCCATGCTACTACTGCTCCTACAAAACAGGGGTTGGCAAACTCTGGCTCACTGGCCAACTCTGGCCCCTTCCTATTTTTATGAAGTTTAACTGATAAGTAAAAAAATAAAGTTTAATTGGAAAAGCCATTCCCATTCTGACTTTTACATATTTATGGCTGTTTTTAGGCTACAATGGCAGAGAAGAATAGTTACAACAGAGACCATATGATCCACAAAACCTAAAATAGACTCTACAATGATACTTTTTTTTTTTTAAAGATTTTATTTATTTATTTGAGAGACAGTGAGAGAGAGAGAGCGAGCACATGAGGGGGGGAGGGTCAGAGGGAGAAGCAGACTCCCTGCTGAGCAGGGAGCCCGATGCGGGACTCGATCCCGGGACTCCAGGATCATGACCTGAGCCGAAGGCAGTCGATTAACCAACTGAGCCACCCAGGCGCCCTACAATGATACTTTTATTTTACTTTACTTGTTCACTTACAATAATAATAGAAGTTGATATCAGGTACTTACTGAGATAAGTACCTGATATCACTGTTCCAAGTAATTACACATATTTTACACATATTATCTCATTTACTCTTTACAACATTCTTTTTTTTTTAAGATTTTATTTATTTATTTGAGAGAGAGTGCAAGAGAATGACGATGAGCAGGGGTAAGGGCAGAGGGAGAGGGAGAGAGAGAAGCAGACTCCCTGCTGAGCAGTAAGCCCAACATGGGGCTCGATCCCAGGACCCTGAGATCATGACCTGAGCCGAAAGCAGACACTTAACTGACTGAACCACCCAGGAGCCCCTTTACAACATTCCTAAAGGAGCAGATATTCCCATTTCCATTTTACAGATGAAGAAACTGAGGATTTTCATTCCAGATCCTATGTTTTTAACTACAACACTAATATGGACTATATTCTCTTTCTTGAGTTTGTTAAGAACACAGATCATACCTAAATCATCTTATTCCCAGAGCCTAGCACAGTGCTTGACATAGTACATATTCTATAATTGTTTGCTAAATTAATCTTACCAACATATCCACTTTCATGCTGGCCTTCTCCCTGCTCAATACCCTTCGATGCCTCCATATTTGCTTACTGCGTCAGGTCTAAACCTCTAAACTCCTCTGACTGGCTTTAAGTCTGACCATAATCCAGGGCAACTGTACCTATCAAAGTTCAAAAAGCTTAATTGTGTCCAACTTCTTCTAGGAGTTTTATGGTTTTGGGTCTCACATTTAGGTCTTTAATCCATTTTGAATTTATTTTTGTGTATGGTGCAAGAAAGTGGTCTGGTTTCATTCTTTTGCATGTTACTGTCCAGTTTTCTCAACACCATTTGTTGAAGAGACTCTTTTACTCACTGTATATTCTTGCCTCCTTTGTCATTGATTAATTGACCATATTGTGTGTGGGTTTATTTTTGGACTCTCTATTCTGTTCCATTGATTTATGTGTCTATTTTTGTGCTAATACCATCTTCTTTTGATTAGTACAGCTTTGTAGTGTATCTTGAAACCTGGGCTTGTGATACCTCCAACTTTGTTCTTCTTTCTCAAGATTGCTTTGGCTATTCGGGGTCTTTTGTAGTTCCATATAAATTTTAGGATTATTTGTTCTAGTTCTGTGAAAACTGCTGTTGGTATTTTGACAGAGATTGCATTTAATCTGTAGATTGTTTTGGGTAGTATGGACATTTTAGCAATACTGGTTCTTCCAATCCTTAAGCATAGACTATCTTTCCATTTGTTGTGTCATCTTCAATTTATCTCACCAATGTTCTATAGTTTTTGGAGTACAGGTCTTTTGCCTCTTTGGTTAAGTTTATTCTTAGGTATTTTATTATTTTTGGTGCAGATGTAAATGAGATTGTTTCCTAAATTTCTTTTTCTGCTGCTTCATTACTAGTGTACAGAAATGCAACAGATTTCTGTATATTAATTTTGGATGCTGTGACTTTACTTAATTTATTTATCAGCTCTAATAGTTTTCTGGTGGAGTCTTTAGGGTTTTCTATATATAGTATCATGTCATCTGCAAATAGTGAAAGTTTTACTTCTTCAGTACCAATTTGAATGCCTTTGAACATAGACAGTAATCTCTCTGACATTGGCCATAGAAACATTTTTTTTAGACATGTCTCCTCAGGCAAGGGAAACAAAAGCAAAATTAAACTACTGAGATTACACTAAAATAAAAGGCTTTTGCATAGTGAAGGAAACTGTCAACAAACAAGGCAACCTACTGAATGGGAGAAGATATTTGCTAATGATATATTCAATAAGAGGTTAATATCCAAAATATAGAAAGAACTTATACAGTTTAACACTAGAAAAACAAATAATCCAATTAAAAGATGAGCAGAGGAACTGATTAGACATTTTTCCAAAGAAGATATACAGATGGCCAACAGACACATGAATAGATGCTCAATATCACTAATCATCAGGGAAGTACAAATCAACACCACAATGAGATATCACTATATGTGTGTCAGAATGGTTAAAATAAAACAGACAAGAAATAACACATGTTGGTGAAGATGTGGAGAAAAAGGAACCCTAGTGCATTATTGGTAGGAATGCAAACAGGTGCAGCCTCTGTGGAAAACAGTATGGAGGTTCCTCAAAAAATTAAAAACAGAGGGCGCCTGGGTGGCTCAGTTGGTTAAGCGACTGCCTTCGGCTCAGGTCATGATCCTGGAGTCCCGGGATCGAGTCCCACATCAGGCTTCCTGCTCAGCAGGGAGTCTGCTTCTCCCTCGGACCCTCTTCCCTCTCATGCTTTCTCTCTCTCATTCTCTCTCTCTCTCAAATAAATAAATAAAATCTTTTAAAAAAATTAAAAACAGAATTACCATACAGTCCAGTAATTCCACTACTGGGTATTTACCCACAGAAAACAAAAATACTAGTTTGAAAAGATATATGCACTCCTATGTTTACTGCAGCATTACTTACAATAGTTAAGATATGGAAGCAACCCAAGTGTCCATCCATACATGAATGGATAAAGAAGATGGGGGTATATATAAAAAGTGGAAAATTGGGCGCCTGGGTGGCTCAGCCGGTTAAGCGGCTGCCTTCGGCTCAGGTCATGGTCCCAGGGTCCTGGGATCGAGTCCCGCATCAGGCTCCCTGCTCGGCAGGGAGCCTGCTTCTCCCTCTCCCTCTGCCTGCCTCTCTGCCTACTTGTTCTCTCTCTCTGTGTCAAATAAATAAAATCTTTTAAAAAATAAATAAATAAAAAATAAATAAAAAATGGAAAAATACTCAGCCATAAAAAGAATGAGATTTTGCCATTGGTGACAGTATGCATAAACGTAGAAGGTAAAATGCTAAATGAAATAAATCAGACAGAAAAAGGCAAATACCATATGATTTCACTCACATGTGGAATTTAAGAAGCAAAATAAATGAACAAACAAAGAAAAAAGAGAGACAAACAAACAAACAAAAGACTCCTAAATACAGAGAACAAACTGGTGGTTGCCAGAGGGGAGGTGGGTGGGGGGATGGGTGAAAAGGATAAAGGAGATTAAGAGTATACTTTTTATGATGAGCACTGAGTAATGTATAGAATTGTTGAATAATTATATTGAATACCTGAAAGTAATATAACACTGTATGTTAATTATACTTCAATTAAAAACATTTTTTTAAATTCAAATAATGTCCAACTTCTGTTTCAGAATTGGCTACTCTTCCTTCTTAAGCTGTGTGACTCTAATTCAACATATGAAATAAGCTAAGCTACCAATGAAACTCACCTGCCATCACGGGATCTGTGGAGACTGCCGTGGTAGCTGCTTACTTTGCTGTGGACACTCCCTGCTTTGCTTCTCTGATCATCCACCATAGCAAGCTGAGTTGAAGAAGCATGTGTGGATGTTCCTTGAGTGGAAGTTCCTCTTGATTTTCTTATAATAGGAGTATTAGGATCCCTCAGAAGAGACTGAGCAAAATCAGGTTCCTGTAGTACCTGTCGGCTCTCATTCACTATCCTAGAAAACAAACACTAAGTTTAAGATACAGACTAACATCCCTATAGACCAATAAATGTGACACACTGACATTATTCTTGAAATTAATTGCTCTCCAAATAATGTCTTTAGGAGAGATATAAGGTAACATTGTTGACAGAGGAAAGAATTTAACAAAGATCGTGTCAAACTGTACTCTAAAGTGGTATGATGGGAAGAAGCCTGTATTAGAATAAGGAAGTCTGGATTTTAGTTCAATAAATACATGATCTTAAGCAAGTCATTATCCCCTTTCCTTCATTTTCCTCATCTATAAGATGAGGCTATACAATTTCATCATTTCTAAAAAGTCCCTTTCAATTAAAGAAATTTATGATTCTCAAGTACACTGAAATATTACAAAGATATTACAGTTGAGAAATTTTTTCTTGCGTGGTTTATGAATGTACTGGAGGCCTCACTGTAGCACAGATATATACATATATATATATTTTTTTAAAGATTTATTTATTTTAGAGATAGAGCACGTGTGCACACACACACATTCAGGGGGAGGGGCAGAGACAGAGAGAGAGAATCTCAAGCAGACTCCCCAGTGAGTGTGGAGCCCGATGTGGGGCTCCATCCCACGACCCTGAGATCATGACTGACATAAGCTGAAATCAAGAGTAGGACGCCCAACCGACTGAGCTACCCAGGTGCCCCAACAGATATATTTTTCACCTTGTAAGAACAGTTGTTTAAAGGCTACAATTTGGTTTAATGGTGAAACAGTTGTTCAGTGCTAGAATAAACATGAGTGGTCGTAATTAGAACAAAATGTATTAAAAAGTAATTTAAGCTAACATAAAATTAATTACCAGACATCTTAAAGGCTTAAGGAAAAAAACTTAAGGAGATGAATTATTGTCAAGAACAAAAGTTTTTAACTGCTACAAAAAGGTTAAAAGCAGATAGATGTTTATGAAAATGAACAAAGCAGTAATTAAATTGATAAAAGAGCCAGTTAAATAGTTACAAAGATCAGAGTCTCAATTTATATAAATGACTATGAGAATCAGAGGTTAAAGTTAAAATCAGATAAATAATTTCATGAAAAAATAAAGCTCCAACATATATAGATTGGATCATACACTGAGAAAGTGCATATATTCTAAATTTTCAGATTACAAAAGGATTGTTGTTACTACTACTGTTTTTAGTGGTGAGGTAGAAGGGCTAAAGGAAGGCTAATACTTGTTGAGTACCCACATTGTGCCAGGTGTTTTACATAAACTCTCCTTTGATCCTTCTTAATAATGTTTTTATTATGGAGATCAATGTCCTAAGAGGGTATCTCTAAGAGGATATTATGTATCTATTGTGAATAGATATCTATTAAGAATAAATACCGTGATCTCTGTTTCATAGATGAAAAAACTGAGGTTCTAAAGGATTAAAGAACTTTCCAAAGTCACATAACAAAACCAAGAGCCAGGGATCAAACTTAAGTTTAAGTGACTTAGAAGCGCCAGGGTGGCTCAGTCGGTTAAGTGTTTGACTCTTGATTTTGACTCGTGATCTCAGGGCTGTGAAATCCAGCCGCATGTTGGGCTCTACCTACGCTGGGTGTGGAGCCTGCTTGTGATTCTCTCTCTTCCTCTCCTTCTGCCCCTCCCTGAAACTCTTGTGCTCACTCTTAAAAAATGGCTTAAAAGCCAAATGTAATGACAAAATATAATGTTTATAATAAAATATTATATATACATATGTATATATAACATATGTGTATGTATGTGTGTGTGTGTGTGTGTGTGTGTGTGTGTATCCTCAAAGTGTCAAAAACTGGATACAAGAATGAACAAGTCAAAACAGTTAAAAAAAAAAAAACCCAAATATATGTTTCTCTGTCATCAATGGCCCTAATCATAGATTCATACATCCCAAGTCAGCCTTGATTGCTGACTTTATTTTCTGAACTTATTTTTAAAACTTGGTTCAAATTGAATTCTGGTCATGCCAAAAATTTAATCCACCTTCAAATGGTAAAGGTTTGTCCCCTCACTTTACAGATAAGAAAACAGAGAAATTAAGTGATATGATTTAGATAATTCCAAAAGAAGATTTCTAAAAATATTTCAATCAGTGTCAGAATTACTAGTATAAGCACAATCTTAAATGTGGCTTCACTTAGGGGGAAAACACTAATTTGATTAGCACAATTTTATAAACTAGTCTCTTTGTAGCACAGTACATAAGCAAAGACGAGAGTCTAGAGTCAGACTGCCTGGGTCTGAATCTCAATTCTAGCAATCACTATGAAACCCTGATTCCATGCCTCAGTTTCCTTATCTGTAAAATGATGATCTCTCTTACAAGGCTATTTGAAGGATTAAATGGTTTAACATATATAAAATGCTCAGAACAATGCTTGGAGTATTAAATGTGCTCAATTAATTGGTAACCGTTACTACAATTATTTTATAGTTATTTTTCAAAGGCTAAAGCAGACAAATGCTAGAAATAGCTATGGGATGCTCACACTCTTGAGCTCTAGAATAAGGAACTCCCACTCTAGCCCAGGGCACAGTCCTAGCTTGTAGGATCACAAGGACTTTGTTGGGTAGGGATGCATGATCACAGAAAACCAAATAGAAGGGTCTTGGGAGTTCTAACCAGTTTCAAAAGGATTCTGGCCCAATCAGGATCCCCCAAATAACTAGGATGATGCCCTATAAGAGTAGCTTGCGTTTAGTTCTATCTAGAATTTCTAATATAACACTATTATAGAATTGTGTCCAGAATTGTATGGTCCAGAGATGACCAGGAATGTTTAATACAAGCCCTTTCCTCAGTATTTTTACTGTGATTAAAATATATGTAGGGCACCTGGGTGGCTCAACTGGTTAAGCGACTGCCTTCAGCTCAGGTCATGATCCTGGAGTCCCGGGATCGAGTCCCACATCGGACTCCGTGCTCAGCAGGGAGTCTGCTTCTCCCTCTGACCCTCTTCCCTCTCATGCTCTCTCTCATCCTCTCTCTAATAAATAAAATCTTTAAAAAATAAAAAAATAAGATAAAATATATGTAAAAATTTCAAAGAATACACAGATAAATCACAGTAAATCCCACAAGGACGGCTATTCCATGAAAGCAGGGACTTGGTCCATTTCTTTGCTACTGAATCCCTGGTATCACAACATTAATTCATGGCACATAGTAAGCATTCTATAAAGACTTTCTTAAAAAATGAATGCCCAGGAAATACATTTTTGTTGTTGCTGAACAACTCTTATTCCCTTCTTTTCTTCTGTGCTCAATGAAACTTACTTAAAGGAGAAATGCATCATCTGATATCCCTAGTAGCAGCCTTAGATACAGTAGTAAGAAATGTATATTTTAAAATTGGGATTATTTTGTCTCAGTCTAATCTGTGTAAGAGAAATGGCTAATTACTGGTACTTTAGAAAATACAGATTTTGTTAATGAGGCATTTTAAGTTGTATGAGAAAAGTACATTAACCCATATAAGGCACAAGATTTTAAATACAACCTTAAGAGTTTTATAGGCTATCTCCCAAAACCCATTTTCCATGGACCTTAGTTTAAGTAAAATCATAAGCATATAGACTCCACTAACTTAGAATTTGAGGGAATTCAGGTATAGTCTCTACATAAGATTTAAACTGAGTAAAACTTTTGAAATCATTTCTTCTTTATGAATATTGCAGGGTCTCATTTTTGTTCACTCTATGATTAAAGATTCCATAAATATGCCCTCAAGAGATTGCTTTGGCAAGTCTTATATTTTACCATGACACTCTAATATGCAGTGTGGCCAACTATGAATTACAATAATTTCTTTAATGCATTTCATTATCATTTTATAAATGCATTTAATATTTTTCTATTTTGGCTTTAATGTGTACTTTATCATAATGGAATAACATGTTATCTCTTTATATAATTTCTGGTATACTTGGAAGAACAATGGGCAATTGGAAAGGGAAGTCTAACCTAATACTTGTGTGATTTTTGGCCAAAGCATTTAATCTCTCTGTGCTCAGTTTTCTCATCTGTAACACAGAAATAATATATAACAGCCTTCACAGGACTATCAAGAAGACCAAGTAATACTATAATAAAAGCATTAATTTGTTTTTAATTTTAAGAAAATTATAATTTAAACTTTCAAAAAATAAGATCAGCTTTCCCTCAAATATTCTCAACTAGTAAGGTATAGACCTTAAGCCTGGTTCTACTTGGCTATCTTCTCAAAATCAACTTTTAGCTTTTAATTAATACATGCTACCATGCTAATCACAACTGGTAGCAGCCAAGGTTACAATCACATTGAAACACATCCTCCAAATCCAAAGTGTTTTCACATAAGCAATACAAAATTTTATGTGAATGTGAGGTTTGTGAACATTGTGATAATTTCAACTTACTCTTTTTTCCTACGACCATGAAAAAAACTGGCCCATTCAAAGCATGTCTTTTTGCTTCCAACCCAAAAAATGGAGGGAATACCAACTATGAGAGCCATCAGGTATTTCATCAGAAAGAGAATCAGGTCTGGACGACTCATTTGAGTAACCTACAAGAAGGGAAAGAAAAATATCTTAAATATATAAGAAGAACTTTCTATCAAAGGCCATTATAAATCTTTTAAATAAACAATAATAAAGTAATTCTACAAACTTGGTATTTTCATTTATACTTACTATTCTTGTTATATGGAAAAGATACACACTCCTGAAAATTTGACAGTAAGTTTCTATTTTATGTTTTGAGTCCCGTATTTTTATTAGCTCACAATGGTATCTTCTAAAGAAAAAGATTATTAATGTAGAAAATAAGCCATGAATAAGAATAGAGGCTCAAATAATATCTATATTCTTCTTGGCCAGTTCTGTTAGTCCTATCATTGGTCATTACAATATAAAAGCAGGAAAGTATTACTCTTTCCCCCCATTTTATTAATTTCTGTTCTCATCTTTTATAGCCCTTCCTTCTATCTACTTCATTTTACTCTGCTGGCTATTTTCAAGCTTCCTCTTTAACCTATGAGTTATTTATAAGTACATTTTCTAGTTTCTAGTCAGATGAGTTTTTAAAAATTGCTTTTTATTGTCAGTTTCAAGTTTAATTATTGTGGTCAAAGAATGCGGTCTATATTATTCTGGTTACCTTAAATTTTGGAGACCTCCTTTTGATTTAAGACACTGTCAATTTATATAAGTATTCCTTGTGTACTTTAAAATAGCACATACTCTCTGTTGGGTACAAAATCTTCTATATGTATTAGATCAACTTTATTGGTTCTGTCATTCAAATTTTCTATATTCTCAATTAATTCTCTGTTTACCTGTTTTATTTTTTTTTTTTAAGATTTTATTTACTTGAGAGAGGGAATGAGCAGAATGAGGAGGGGCAGAGGGAGAAGGAGAAGGAAAAGCACTTCTCACTAAGCAGACAGCCCAGTGCGGGGCTCAATCCCAGGACCCAGGGATCATGACCTGAGCCGAGAGTAGACGCTTAACAGACTGAAACACCCAGGCGCCCCTACCTATCTGCTTTAACAGAGGTATGCCAAAATCTCTCACATAACTGGGGACTCGTCAGTTTTCCTTCTAATCCTGTCAGTTTTCACTTTCAAGCCTATGTTAGGTATTATGTTAATTCAATAATGCTCTAGATGCTCATTTTGCTTGTTAATACTCTTCACCTTCACAGGGAGAAGCAGACTCCCCACTGAGCAGGAAGCCTGATGCTGGGCTCAATCTGGGACTCCAGGATCATGACCTAAGCAGAAGACAGATGCTTAACTGACTGAGCCACCCAGGCGCCCCTATACAAGAGTTCTTAAAGCCATTCCTTGATTCTTCACCTTAAACTGTATTTTATCTGACATTACTATTGCCACATCAGCTTTTCACTTCATCACAGCAACATATTTTCCAGGTGTATCTTTTCCTATTTACCAATGAATTTCTTTCAAGTCTGTCCCTTTGGGTTATACTGCCTCTTTTAAGCAGCATACAGTTTACTAACACTAAAATGTCCACTCCATGAAGAGATTATTTTCCCCACTGTTTTATCCCCAGAGTCTAGACCAGTGCCTGCACATAGTAGGTACTCAATAAGTACATACATGTAAAAATATACTTGGTTTTATTAGGAAAAAAATAGTTAAAATGATCAGCACCTCCATCTTTTTGAATAAGAAAATATTCCTAGCACACTATATAACTACCTATATTCCTTATTATTTTCCAGGAATTCAAAACAACCTTTGCAAAAATAATTTTTTATTATCTTTAGTTTTGTCAAAAAGTACACCCTTTGGTGTACCTTTGGCTTACCTTTGCGTTTTTTCTTCTTGCTAAAGGATGCCCTTTAAAAATTCTTACAAATAAGGTATGCCAGAGACAAATTATTTGTCTTTGCCTGAAAATGTCTTTATTTTGCCCTCAATCTTGAATGATAAACATTAGTGTATTGTCTTCTAGTTCCTATTGTTTCTGTTGAGAAGTCTAATTGATAATCTTTTGGAGATTTACTTCCTCTCTCCGGTAGCTTTTAAAGTTTTCTTTATTCTTTTCACTTTATAGTTGCACTGAATGTTTCTCATTGTGATTGATTTTTATTTCTCCTGCTTAGTATGTAGAGTGTACTTTTAATCTAAGGACCCAAGTTTTCAATTCTGGAAAATTCTCAGATATTAGGTTTTTGATTACTGCTTCTTAAGTCATTCTTATGGCTTCTTGTTCTACAACTCCCATTAGATCTATACTGAAGTTCCTCAATCCTTATTTTTTATGTCTTTTAACTACATAATTATATTGTTTTTAGTACTGTATGTCTCTCTATATTCTGTATTCTGGATGAACTCTTTAGAACAGTCTTCTACTTCACCAATTCCCTCTTCAATCATGTCTATGTTAGGGTTCTTTCTATCTACTGATTTAATTTCCATGACTTCAATTCTAAAATGTCTAATTAGTTCTTATATTTGTCTATTCTTATTTCATTTCTGCTAATTTATCATAATTTCTTATTCTTTTAAAATGGTTTTTATTGTTTATCTTTTGGAGAATCCTAAACATACTTATTTTTAAATAAGTCTTTAAAAAATTAGTTTACTACTTTCATTTCATCTGGGAGGAAATCTATCTTCTAATTGTTGATTTTGTTGGATGCTTTCTAGGTTTGGCTTTTTTCTTTTCTGAATTGTGCTTTGGAATTTTAGTTTGCAGATCTTGAGTGAGAATTTTCCCTCTCCCTTTCTCCCTTCCTCCCTCCCTCCATTTATCTCACCCTGTGTCATGACTTGTCTTCACCAGTGCCCACAGGGACCTGGTCAAAAACCAGGTTTTATATTGGTGATTGTGAACTCCAGATGTTATTGGTTACTGGAGATTCAGGTACTAAGTCATTGCAGTTTGGCTTAAATATTGGTCTTAAGGTGGTGCTGGTGTCCTCTCACATCTCTAGATAAGTAGTTTTATATTAACTACAGCTTTAGGGAACAGTTGGTATTACCTTTTACATGAACTTCCTTTCAGGAGCAGGGGAGCCTCATTTCCAATTCCTACTTTTAACCAGTGAGCCTAGTTCTGGTCCTCTGACTTCCATGTGACACTTATACATCCTAATATACCCCAGAAACTGGATGCCCAATCACCTCTGGCTACTTCATACCTGGAGTTCAGTAGGCCCATGTTTTTCATCACTAGTTACCAACTTACATTTCTGTTATACAAATAAGTTTATTTTGTCTTTTAGACTGATTACATTTAAAAATTTTTATTGTTTTATCTATAAATGATTTTATGTTTATGTTTTATCTATAATCGCACATGATTACAGTTAGCCTGGCAAGCTCAAAACATAGAATTTAAATTACAATCATAACCTAGAATTAAGGTGTAATTCCTTTAGAATTTACCTAAAAGTAAAAAAGCAAATATTTATAGATCATCCACTACTCTAAGAATAATTCTGCTCAAAGCCCCATGAGACTTATGAAACAGATGTAAGGCTTTATTAATGTTCCCACCAAGCTGATAATCTAAATGAAAATACAAATTAAAGAAACCACTGAATAGTTAAGAACTATAATTAAGAAGCAGATGAAGAGACATATAAGCAGATCACAAATAACCTCCTCATTAAAAAATACAATGGCTTCCTGTTATTCCATTTTTTTAAGATTTTTTCTTTAGGTAATCTCTATACCCAACAGAGGGCTCAACCCCAAAATCAAGAGTCACATGCTCTACTGACTGAGCCAATCAGTTTCACTTTTTTTAAATACTTCTATATAACATCACTTATTGATGACTATCTCATACTTAACAAAAATTTATCTCCCCTGACTTCTATAACACTGCATAGTCATGATTATTCACTTAATGAGGCATTACTTTCTTACTTTCATTACTTTCTTCTTGACTTCCTACTCCTGCTCTTCTACCATTTGCTCCCCACTACCCTCTATACAAGAGTTTTGGGTTTTTGTTTTTTTTTTAAGATTTTATTTATTTGAGAGAGAGAGAGCAAGCGAGAGAGAAAGAGCACAAGCAGGGTGAGGGGCACAGGGAGAAGCAGACTCCCCACTGAGCAAGGAAGCCTGATGCTGGGCTCAATCCAGGACTCCAGGATCATGACCTAAGCAGAAGACAGATGCTTAACTGACTGAGCCACCCAGGCGCCCCTATACAAGAGTTCTTAAAGCCATTCCTGATTCTCTCTTTATACTCTCAACTAATCATTTAAACTTAGAAGTCATCTAGTTATATTCTTTACCTAACAAGTTAATTTGCTTTCAATTTAGTTGTTCTGTGAATATAACTAGTATGGTGGTATTGATAAAATACAAGTTTGCCTCTTCCATGTTCAAATAGCTCTAGCTATTCTGCCCACCTGTCCTAGTTTTGTCCTCTGGTACTGTCAAGAATAAGACTACCATTCAAGAAGTCCTAGTCAATTCAATAACATACCCTGCCAGAAGTGAAACTTAAAAAAATGGTGTATTAGGAACAAAGACACAAAAAGACTAACCAGAAAATCCAAGAGAATCAACAGAAAAACAGAAACAGAGTTCAGTAAGTTGGTCAAGATTAATATACAAAAATCAAATGTTTTCTTATATACTGTCAATAACCAGAGAAGAAATATAATGAAAACGATTTCATTTATAATACCAACAAAAACAAAAAATATCTAGGAATAAACCTAGCAACTAGTAAATACAAAGAAAATGATAAAACACTATCAAAGGACACAGAGAAAAACTGAAATACATAGAGAAACAGTCCATGTTTCTACATGCAAAGACTCAATGTTTTAAAGATGTCAAATCTAATTATCCCCCAAATTAATCCTATAAACTTGGTACAATCCAAAAAGAGCAAAAGGATTTTTTCACAGAATGTTAAAAGGTAAGTATATGATAAAAGTATTTTAAATAAATGGGGGAAAGATCATAGATTGTTTAATCAATGATGTTGGGATGGTTGGCAATCCACCTGGAAACAAACTAATTTAGATGCCACCCCACACAAGAAAGAAAAATAAATTCTAGACAACAAT